GGATATCAGGGTTGTGGGTATCGGGGTTGTGGGTATCAGGGTTGTGGGTATCGGGGTTGTGCATATCAGGGTTGTGGGTATCGGGGTTGTGCATATCAGGGTTGTGGGTATCGGGGTTGTGGGTATCAGGGTTGTGGGTATCAGGGTTTTGGATATCAGGGTTGTGGGTATTGGGGTTGTGGGTATCAGGGTTGTGGGTATCGGGGTTGTGGATATCAGGTTTGTGGGTATCGGGGTTGTGGGTATCAGGGTTGTGTGTATCGGAATTGTGGGTATCGGTGTTGTGGGTATCGGGGTTGTGGGTATCGGGTTGTGAGAATCAGGGTTGTGTGTATCGGAGTTGTGGGTATCGGGTTGTGGGTATCGGAGTTGTGGGTATTGGGTTGTGGGTATCGGAGTTGTGGGTATCGGGTTGTTTGTATCGGGTTGTGGGTATTGGGTTGTGGGTATCGGGGTTGTGGATAGCGGGGTTGTGGGTATCGGGGTTGTGGGTATCGGAGTTGTGGGTATCGGAGTTGTGGGTATTGGGTTGTGGGTATCGGGTTGTTGGTATCGGGGTTGTGGGTATCGGGTTGTGGGTATCGGGTTTTGGGTATCGAGGTTGTGGGTATAGGGTCGTGGGTATCGGGGTTGTTGGTATCAGGGTCGTGGGTGTCAGAATTGTGGGTATCAGGGTTGTGGGTGTCGGAATTGTGGGTATCGGGGTTGTGGATATCAGGGTTGTCGGTATCGGGGTTGTGGGTATCGAGTTGTGGCTATCGGGGTTGGGGTTGTGGATATCAGGGTTGTGGGTATCAGGGTTGTGGGTATCAGGTGCTGGGTATCGGGTTGTGAGTATCAAGGTTGTGGGTATCGGGTCGTGGGCATCAGGGTTGTTGGTATCAGGGTTGTGGGTGTCGGAATTGTGGGTATCAGGGTTGTGGGTATCGGGGTTGTGGATATCAGGGTTGTGGGTTTCAGGGTTGTGGGTATCAGGGTTGTGGGTATCGGGGTTGTGGGTATCGGGGTTGTGAGTATCAGGGTTGTGGGTTTCGGGGTTCTGGGCATCAGGGTTGTGAGTATTAGGGTTGTGGGTATCGGGGTTGTGGGTATCGGGTTGTGGGAATCAGGGTTGTGTGTATCGGAGTTGTGGGTATCGGGTTGTGGGTATTGGAATTGTGGGTATCGGGGTTGTGGGTATCGGAGTTGTGGATATTGGGGTGTGGGTATTGGAGTTGTGGGTATCGGGTTGTGGGTATCGGGTTGTAGGTTTCGGGGTTATGGGCACAGGGGTTGTGGGTATCGGGTTATGGGTATCGAGGTTGTGGGTATCGGGGTGTGGGTATCAGGGTTGTGGGTATAAAAGTGGTGGGTATTGGAGTTGGAGTTGTGGGTACTGGGGTTGTGGGTATCGGGGTTTTGGGTATCGGGGTTGTGGATATCAGGGTTGTGGGTATCGGGGTTGTGGGTATCAGGGTTGTGGGAATCAGGGTTGTGTGTATCGGAGTTGTGGGTATCGGGTTGTGGGTATCGGAATTGTGGGTGTCGGGGTTGTGGGTATCGGAGTTGTGGGTATCGGGGTGTGGGTATCGGAATTGTGGGTATCGGGGTTGTGGGTATCGGAGTTGTGGGTATCGGGGTGTGGGTATTGGATTTGTAGGTATCGGGTTGTGGGTATTGGAGTTGTGGGTATCGGGGTGTGGGTATTGGATTTGTAGGTATCGGGTTGTGGGTATCGGGTTGTGGGTATCGGGTTGTGGGTTTCAGGGTTATGGGCATAGGGGTTGTGGGTATCGGGGTTGTGGGTATCGGGTTATGGGTATCGAGGTTGTGAGTATCGGGGTGTGGGTATCAGGGTTGTGGGTATAAAAGTGGTGGGTATTGGAGTTGGAATTGTGGGTACTGGGGTTGTGGGTATCGGGGTTGTGGGTATCGGTGTTGTGGATATCAGGGTTGTGGGTATCGGAGTTGTGGGTATTGGGTTGTGAGTATTAGAGTTGTGGGTATCAGGTTGTGGGTATCGAGTTGTGGGTATCGGGGTTGTGGGTATTGGGTTATGGGTATCGGGGTTGTGGGTATCGGGATTGTAGGTATCAGGGTTGTGGGTGTGGGAATTGTGGGTATTGGGTTGTGGTTATCAGGGTTATGGGTATCGGGGTTGTAGGTATCAGGTTTGTTGGTGTCGGAATTGTGGGTATCGAGATTGTGGGTATCAAGGTTGTGGGTAACGGGGTTGTGGGTATTGGTGTTTAGGTATCATGGTTGTGATTTTCGGAATTGTGGGTATCGGGGTTGTGGGTATCGGGTTGTGAGTATCAAGGTTGTGGGTATCGGGTCGTGGGTATTGGGGTTGTTGGTATCAGGGTTGTGGGTGTTGGAATTGTGGATATCAGGGTTGTGGGTATCGAGGTTGTGGGTATCGGGTTGTGGGTATCGGGTTGTGGCTATCGGGGTTGTGGCTATCGGGTTGTGGGTATCGGAATTGTGGGCATCGCGGTTGTGGGCATCGGAGTTTTGGTATCGGGTTGTGGGTATCGGAGTTGTGGGTATCGGGTTGTGGCTATCGCTTTGTGGGTATCGGGGTTGTGGGCATCGGGTTGTGGGTATCGGGGTTGTGGGTATCCTGTTGTGGGTATCAGGGTTGTGGGCATCGGGTTGTGGGTATCGGGTTGTGGTTATCGGGTTGTGGGTATCGGGGTTGTGGGTATCGGGTTGTGGGTATCGGTTGTGGGTATTGGGGTTGTGGGTATCAGAGTTGTGGGTATCAAAGTTGTGGGTATTGGGGTTGTGGGTATCGGGGTTGTTGGTATCGGGTTGTGGGTATCAAGTTGTGGGTATCGGAGTTGTGTGGATCAGGGTTGTGGGTGTCAGAATTGTGGGTATCGGGGTTGTGGGTATCGGGTTGTGGGTATCGGGGTTGTGGGTATCGGGTTGTGGGTATTGGGGTTGTGGGTATCAGGGTTGTGGGTATCAAAGTTGTGGGTATTGGGGTTGTGGATATTGGGGTTTTGGGTATCGGGGTTGTTGGTATCGGGTTGTGGGTATCAAGTTGTGGGTATCGGAGTTGTGTGGATCAGGGTTGTGGGTGTCAGAATTGTGGGTATCGGGTTGTTGGTATCGGGTTGTGGGTATCGGGGTTGTGGGTATCGGGGCCGTGGTGTCAGGGGAGGCCTGAGCCCCCCATCACATGAAGACCCATTGTCCCCTCAGTCTCTGAGCCAGCCCCTCGCCCTTCCTGCCCACTGTCCATGAGACCTTGTCTCCCACGGGCAGACCTGTCAGGCGGGCACGGGGCCGGGGCTCCTTGTCCACCCTGCACTGCTGAGAGAAGGGGAGATGGCAGGGACTTTCCTGTCATTCCAGTGTCTCGGAGGGAAGCTTCAGAGCGACACTCGCTCTCTTGCAGTTTCCTGTGGTCTGGCCCGCATGGGACACAGGGTCCCTCGTGGGGGACTGTGGGTCGAGGGGCCCAGAAAAGTCACAGGTGCGGGGCTGGAGCGATAGCACAGCAGGTAGGGATATTTGCCTTGCACGTGGGCAACCCGGGTTCGATTCCCAGCATCCCATGTGGTCCCCTGAGCACCCCCAGGAGTAATTCCTGAGTGCAGAGCCAGGAGTGACCCCTGAGCACTGCTCGGTGTGATTCCTCCCCTCCCCCCCACAAAAAAAAGTCACAGGTGCTGGCAAACGTGGGGCCGGCTTTCTGCCCACTCATTCTGTTCTGTGTACTCGGCTTTTCTGCCCCACCCCAGCTCCCGAGGGGTCCCTCTGCCTGTGGGACTCGCCCCGGCTGGGCAGGGTAGAAGACCTGAGGGGCTCCTGGACCCAGCACTCGAACACGAGAGAAGACGCCCAGCCGCTGTCTCCCTGCTCCTCACAGCTTCTACACCTGCTTCCACCTTTACCCCCCCCCCCCCCGCCCCCAGCCTGGCCAGGCAGCAGCGCAGACCACTGGAGGGTTCGCCCCAGGCCACAGGCAGCCCCGGGTCACAGGCTGCCCAAGGCCACGGCAGCCAGACCCGCGGCGGGGTCCCACATGGGGTCGACAAAGACGAGGTGAGTGGCTGCCGGCCTGGCGGCTTCACCCCCTCCACAGCACAGGCCCCTCCTGGATCTTGGCCTCCCCGTCCTCCGAGGACCCGTCCACCCAAGGCCACACACTCCTGGGGGACAGGCTGAGCCTTGGACCTTCCCCAGAGCTGGCCGGATACACAGCCCGCCGTGCGTCCAGTTCTTTGGCTGCTGGCAACTGCGACCCAAGGAACTGCCCCCGCTGGGTGGGCTCGGCCACGAGCACATGGTGGGGGAGGGAACTCAGGTGCCCAGTGCCTGCCAGGAGGGGTGACTTTGACTTTCTCCACTTGTGGCCCTTCGCACCTCAGGGACACAACCTCTCTAACCCCACACATAACGCGAAGGGCTCGGAATGAATTTCTGCATAGACCTGGCCCCAGCCTGAGGTGTGGGGAGTGACTCCCGGCTCAGTGCTCGAGTATGCGGTATGGGGTCTGGGCTGCAAAGCAGGGGCTCCAGCCCAGAGGGGCACCTCCCAGGCCTGATTCAGAATGAATCTGGGGGGGGAGCACTGCATGTCCAGAAACACTTTCATTTTTGGGGGGGGGGTGTCACACTCAACGATGCACAGGGGTTACTCCTAGCTCTGCACTCAGGAATTACCCCTGGCGGTGTTCGTTCGGGGGACCCTATGGGATGCCAAGGATCGAACCCGGGTCGGCCGCGTGCAAGGCAAACGCCCTCCCCGCTGTGCTATCGCGCCAGCCCCAGAGAAACACTTTTAATGCTGTCAATGTTCTCACGCCCCCCTCCCCACCCCTGCATCTGCGGACACTACCCAGGGCGCGTAAGAGAAGCCAGGTTCTAGAACATTCTTCTTTGCCAGGGAGGGAAACAGTGCCTCCACACACAGGTTGGTTGCTCCAGGAGCAGAGGGGGGCAGGGGTGGACAGGACCTCTGTCACCCAGGCTGAGGACCCCGTGTCCGCCCCTTCCCTTGGGCTCACCTGGGAGAGGGGTGGGGGCGGCTTCTCGCCCTCGCCGCCCTCGGTCTTGTCACTGAGCAGCCCCTGCACCTGGTACTCCAGCACGTAGCTGTCGATGAAGCGCTCCAGCTCCTCGATCTCCTGGGAGCGGCTGCTGCCCGCCTCGGACGAGGCCGAGGCCGCCGACGAGTTCTCCATCCTCGGCTCGGGGCGGCGGGCTGTGGGGCAGAGGCAGGGACCCGTGAGACGCGGAGCGGACGGAGGGATGCCCCACCACCCTGAAGGCCACCCCGGATGCGTCTCAGCCTCCCCGCGTCTCCCACGAAGGGGCCCCGGGCAGCCCTGCGGCCACCACCCCTCGCGACTCAGAGGCAGGAGCATGGACGCCACCCAGGACAGGGAAGAGGAGCGAAACAGCGGGTCCAGATTCGCACAGAAAAGCCCCAGCTCAGCTGACTCGTCTGCTCAAACCTCGGACGCCCCGGCCCTCCCCACAGCCCTCATAATGCTCCATGAAGTCTTTTTTGTATCTCTAATAAAAGTTTAGTCACCAAAAAATTTAAAAGGGGAGCGGGGACCGGAGTGATAGCACAGCAGGTAGGGCATTTGCCTTGCATGTGGCCAACCTGGCACTCCATAGTGTCCCCGGAGCACCGCCAGGTGTAATTCCTGAGTGCAGAGCTAGGAGGAACCCCTGAGCATCGCCAGGTGTGACCCAAAGGCCAGCCACACATGCTAGGGGAAAAGGTAGCTCAGATGATAGAGAAGGAAGCACCAAATAAAGGGTGCTGGAAGGATCCTCCCAGGAGGGGAGAAGCATGCTGAAAGTAGACTACAGACCAAACATTATTGTCACTCAATGCCTCTCTTGTAAATCACAGCACCCAAAAGGAAAAAGAGAACAAAAGGGAAGGCCCTGCCACAGAGGCAGGGTGGGATGGGGGGATGGGGGGTGGGAGGGATACTGGGATCCATGGTGGAGGGAAATGGGCACTGGTGGAGGGATGGGTACTCGATCATTGTATAACTGAAACCCAAGCACAAAAATTTGTAAGTCTACAACTGTACCTCATGGTGTATCACTAATAAAAAGTAAAAAAAAAAAAAAAAGACCAACAAAAAAATTTAGTTATAAAATATGTTCCGAGTCTCTCAAGTGCACTTTGGAAAAGGGGAAATGAGAAAAATGGAAAGAAACATATGCCACACGATTAGAAATAATTGCTCATTCAGTGTATATTCCCATCTTCACTCTTTATCTCTGGAAAGGGCTGGAACGATAGCATAGGGGAAGGGCCTTGCATGCGGCTGACCCAGGTTCGATTCCTCCGCCCCTCTTGAAGAGCAAGCTACCAAGAGTATCCCACCCGCACAGCAGAGGCTGGCAAGCTCCCCGTGATGTGTTTGATATGCCAAACACAGTAACAACAAATCTCACAATGGAGATGTTACTGGTGCCCGCTCGAGCAAATCAATGAACAATGGGAGAACAGTGCTATCTCTGGAAAGATTCAACATTTATGTTTTCTTTCTTTTTTTTCTTTTTCTTTTTGAATGCTCCTTGAGCATTAAATTCTTTTTTTAATGCTCCTTCAGGAGCGGATCTGGGCCGGTGATGGCAGCTGTGGGTCCCCAGCACGTCCACGTCAGAGTGTCCGCATGACACAGAGGCTGTCCCGGAGGCTAGCAGGAGCAGCTGCAGGGAAGCAAGGTCCCGAGAGCTTTTCTGGGGCTCCCAGCACCCCAGCAGGCAGCCCCAGGGGGCTGCAGGAAATGGAAGTGGGGGGCAGCTCTGCTCAGACCCTCTCTAGGGTGACACCATAATCCTCTGAGGAAGCCTGGGGTCACCACCACACCCACATGGGTGCTTCAAGCAAAGGCGCTGGTAGTGAGTGAGACCCACCACCTGGGGGGATCAGGGGCCCCTAGAGAAGAAAATGAGGGTTCACGAGGGGTCTGGGTGCCTCATATGCTCACAGCACCATGTTAACTGCGTGGCCACAGTTGCCGATCAGATGGTGGCAGGGGATGGCCTCACCTCACCTACCTCACCTCACCTTTCCTGCCTCATTTCACCTTGCCTGCTTCACCCCACCTCGCCTGCTTCACTTCACCTCACCTGTCTCACCTCACCTCACCTCACCTCACCTCACCTGTCTCACTTCAACTCACCTGCCTCACCTCACCTGCCTTACTTCACCTCACCTGTCTCTCCTCACCTCACCAGTCTCACCTCACCAGCCTCACCTCACCAGCCTCACTTCACCTTGCCTGCCTCACCTCACCTGCCTCACAGCACCTGCCTCACTTCACCTCACCTCACCTGCCTCACCTCACCTGCTTCACTTCACCTCACCAGCCTCACCTCACCTGCCTCACTTCACCTCACCTGTCTCTCCTCGCCTCACCAGCCTCACCTCACCTGCCTCACTTCACCTTGCCTGCCTCACCTCACCTGCCTCACAGCACCTGCCTCACTTCACCTCACCAGCCTCACCCCACCTGCCTCACTCCACCTCACCTGTCCCACCTCACCTCGCCTGCCTCACTTCACTTCACCTGTTTCTCCTCACGACACCAGCCTCACCTCACCTGCCTCACTTCACCTCACCTGCCTTACCTCACTTGCCTCACTTCACTTCATCTGCCTCACCTTACCTTGCCTGCCTCACCTCACCTTACCTACCTCACTTCATTCGCCTCGCCTGCCTCACCTCACCTCGCCTGCCTCGCCTCACCTCACCTCAACTGCTTCACCTCACCTCGCTTGCCTCCCCTCTCTCGCCTACCTCACCTCGCCTCGGCTGCCTTCCCTCACCTATCCTGGTCACCTCATGCCATGTCCAGGATCTCACATCTGCTCACTAGCACCCAGCCTGCACTCAGAGTATGACAAAAGCAACCACCCTCTTGATCTCCCACACCCCAACATCAGAGGATGACCCTTGCAGTGGTGGCCCGGGCCCTGGGAATGTGGCTCCTCCTGGGCCTGGCTGCCAGTGCAGGGGCAGGTGCTCCCGCCTCACAGCGCCTGCATCACGGGCATCTTCTTCAGCAGCGCCCAGGGAGTCCGCACATTGTTCTGCCCGTCCCACCCGGCGAGGGCACCGCTGCTCTCACACCCCCAAGCGGCCAGGAACGACATCAAGAGGCTGAATTTAATCTGATTGAGTTTATGTTATTTCAGGGGGCAACGGGGGCCACACCCTGCAGTTCTCAGGGGCTACTCCTGGCTCAGTGCTCAGGGACCGTGCAGTGCCATGGCTAGAATGGGTCCTCCAGCATGCAAAGTCTGTGCCCGGCCACTCACTGATTCCTCCCCTCCCCTCCTCTCCTCTCCTTTTCTGGACCTCCCTTTCCAGGGCCCATGGGGCTTGGGGTTGGCTCCAGGCACCCCGAGGCTGCCAGATGTCTCGTGCAGAGCCCCTGCTCGGTGCTCGTTCTGGGGGCGGCTCTTATTAGCCCACCGGGTGTGGAGACTCTAGTTCCCATTATCCCTGCAGTTAATTTCACCCACCAGAGCGTGGAGGCAGCAGATAACCTCTTTATGCACACACAGCGGGAACAGTCTGCAGCCGGTTACAACCGCAGGGAGCAGGCTGAGTGGTTAACTGGCAGATAATTAACTGAGACTTTCCCCACAGCCTTCTGCAGGCTCCGCCGAGACACCAGGAGGAGCCATCAGGTCAGAAGGGGCCTCCTGTGGACTCCACAGTCGCTGGGTTTCGCCCCAGAATCCTGGGAGCGTAGAAGGAAAAGGGACCTTCCAGGACCCGGAGTCTCAGAAGCCTCGGAGGCTGGTGGAGGGAACAAAGCAGAAGCAGCTGCTTCGGAAAACAGTCTGGGCGCCCCTCAGAGGAACCCACACACAGCTGACAACCCTCCTCAGATGAGTACACACAGAGCTAACAGACAGCCCGCCTCAAACGAGTACACACAGAGCTGACAAGCCTCCTCAGATGAGTACACACAGAACTAACAGACAACCCACCTCAGATGAGTACACAGAAAGCCAACAGACAACCCATCTCAAATGAGTACAGAGAGAGTTGATAACCCATCCCAAATGAATAGACAGCTGACAACCTACAAGTACACACAGAGCTAACAGACAACCCACGTCAGACGAGTATACACAGAGCTGACAACCCACCTCAGATGAGTATACACACAGCTAATAGACAACCCACCTCAGACGAGTACACAGAGAGCCAACAGACAACCCACCTCAAATGAGTAGAGAGAGAGTTGATAACCCACCCCAAATGAATACAGACAGCTGACAACCCACAAGTACACACAGAGCTAACAGACAACCCACCTCAGACAAGTACACAGAGAGCTGACAACCCACCTCAGATGAGTATCTGTCACTGTCACTGTCCTCCCGTTGTTCATCGATTTGCTCGAGCGGGCCCAGTAACGTCTCCATTGGTGACTTTGTTCTTACTGTGTTTTGGCATATCGAATACATCACGGGTAGCTTGCCAGGTTCTGCCGTGCGGGCAAGATACTCTCGGTAGCTTGCCGGGCTCTCCGAGAGGGGCGGAGGAATCGAACTTGGGTAGGTCATGTGGGTTGCGTGCAAGGCAAACGCCCTACCGCTGTGCTATTGCTCCAGCCGATGAGTATACACACAGCTAACAGACAACCCACCTCAGACGAGTACAGAGAGCCAAAAGACAACCCATCTCAAATGAGTACAGAGAGAGTTGATAACCCACCCCAAATGAATACGGACAGCTGACAACCCACAAGTACACACAGAGCTAACAGACAACCCACCTCAGACGAGTACACACAGAGCTGACAACCCACCTCAGATGAGTATACAAATAGCTAACAGACAACCCACCTCAGATGATCCCACACAGCTCCCACACAATGCTCCCATTCTATTTCTAGATGCGTTCCCCAAAGAAACAAATGATGGCATGCGAATTGTATGGCAATAAAGCTGTTTAAAAAAAAAAGTTAGGGCTGGAGCGATAGCACAGCGGGTAGGGCGTTCGCCTTACACGCGGCCAACATGGCCGACCTGAGTTCAATTCCTCCGCCCCTCTCAGAGAGCCCGGCAAGCTACCGAGAGTATTCGATATGCCAGACACAGTAACAACAAAGTCTCCAATGGAGACGTTACTGGGCCTGCTCGAGCAAATCGACGATCAACGGGAGGGCCTTTACCTTTACCTTTATGAGCTGTCCCCAAGTAATTCCC